GTTGTTAGGATAGGTCAGGATTAAAGTATTTGCTTCCCCGTTCACTGTTATCCATCCATCCATCCACTCCTCTACTTACTCCTGATCAATGCAGTTACCTCCTTCTCTATCACTGTTACTTAAACATGTTGCCAGGGTGATAGTATTTTACCTTCTTTGGCTGACAACTGCACCACCACTAGCTGCATAATAATTAGAAGTAAAGCTCTGACAGGTGTGAATCAGGTTGCGTGGGTGTGTGTAACTTTCCACTCCTTGCTTTATTCGCAAATCTTTCCCAGCTCTGCAGGTCATCTTTCTCCCCCATAAAGTATGATGAAAGAACTTCTCGATAACCACTTTCGTCTTCTCCTCCGTAAATTGTCCAAGTGCTCGACAAATTATACGAAATGGCATACTTCGTTGCTTCTAGCATGTCTTAACAGGTCATTGTTCGGCAGCACACAAAAAATGGCATTAACTTACATTCTTTGTGTCCGCCCTTCAAAATGAAGGACGATATAATGGCACATTTGACTATCACCTGGACTTGCCAAATAGGATCCGTCACAAATATTCTGACGTAGTGGTGAGTGCCCTGCAAAAGGTGAAACAATAGTCGTGAAAAAGACTAGAAACGAGAAAAATCATTCCTCTTATTACACCTTTCAAGGCCGTCAAAAAAATGCACTCCATGACAGGCGACGCTTTTAATGGGAGCAAAGTTCAACACCAACGCCTTGACACACTTCAACAAGTACCCTTTCTAGTAGTCCACTCATTTGGCTCTAGTTGGCAAAGGCTCGAAGGATCTGGACTCTGTTCAGCGTTACTATCCACAGTGAGAAAAGGAGACATTTCCTAAGCCAGGAGGTGAATTGCAGAGCTGTGATTAACCTTTATGTTTTCTGACTCCATCCTTCCTCCCTCTTATTATGCCTGCCCAAAATCATAAATTTCGATAGAGATATCCCCCTGAAGAGGTCCCTAAAAATGTCGATAACCTATTCAGCTGTGGTGACACAGGGTGGAGAAGTTCATAATAAACACATACACACGCACACACCCAGAAAGGGTGAGAGGGCGAGGGTAAATGTCAGAAAGGTCCGTTTGTCAAGATGTGCAGGAGAGGAGATAATGAACATTTACTTCAGACACCTAAAAATCGTGTATTTTGGCCATGCCGCCCACTTTCATAAGTGCTAGCCATGCCATTGCCCTTTCCGCTAATCTGTGAAGTTGGGTTTGTAAGTGGGGCAGGGGTGGCGACAGTGTGGGATGACAGCTAAACGAGGTGGTAAAGTGCATATGTCTACATTTTGCAGCTACTTTTATGGTGGTAAAAGCTGTAAAATCTTTTAATGTTTGATTCAAAAATGTGAATTTAATGTTTAGGAATCTTAACACTTGTGGTTCACCTGACGCCCCTTCTCCCCTTCCTCTTTCCTCCTCGTCTCCACGATGCAGAGGGGGGCTTTAAGGAAGCCAATTTGGGTCCTCCTGTGCAGTAAATCTTCATTACCTTCATGTGTACTTATTGTCAAGCTATGTTGTCTACACCTGGCGTTAGTAATTATTTGTGAATTCCCTTTGAAGCTACGGCCCACTTACAAGTTCAGCCCACTTATTCAATGTCCGAAATAAATAAGCCGGCCCACCTTCCACGTCTTCCCGTTTGAACAACAAGCGAGGGTGAAGGAGAGGGCGAGAAAACACAAGAGCGAGACGAGTGTACCAAGGCCGGCGGTTCCTTTGATGTGCTGGGACGGTGGTCACGAGACCCGAGGCCATAACTTGATGAGACAGTACAGCGTGGATGGAGTGCAGGGAGAGGCAGAATAGGACGGAGTAAAAGTATAGCTCAGCATGGGAATGCCTTCTTTTTGATCACCGCTTGATCGTGGCGTTAACTAAAATATTCACTCGCTTTTAGCTTGTTAAATTGACTCTGATAAACAATAAAGAAAAGTTATCATGGTTTTATCATAGTTATTTGGATTCATGAAGAAAAGTGCAAGCTAAACACAGTAATAGAATTAAAGCTGATTGAAATGCCCGCTGACCTTGTCGTGCAACCAAAACAAGTATCGCATGTGGTGTGATTGAGCCTCCAGACAGTCGCCACATTTGTCCCGAGGAGGCACGAAGTGCAATGCGTGAAATTCCACGCAATACATTCGGCGGATTTCCATTAAATTGTCTTGTTGATGATGTCTATATTGCACGACCTTGCTTTAAGTAGCCTGCGAGCGACCTGCCCGCGGAGCTAAAAGCGGCAATCTTTGACAGTTAAAGCAATTCGCCTTTTATAAACCACAGGGGCGAAAGAGGAATTGGCCCTCACACCAATAATGCAATGCTAAGAGAATTTCACTTTGTCTCCAATAATTTCGAGTTGAATTTGAAGTGCTTCTTTTGGGTCTGCTAAAAAAACAAAACTTTTTACAAAATTCGAGTGTGTAGAAATGTTCACACATTATTTCTACTTATTAGGAGGAAAGTAATTGTACTTCCATTGTTTATTTGGTTTAACAGGATCTTTGAGGCATGACTATAGGCGAAAGACCACCAACGGTCCACTGCTTTGCATTGATGAGTCCCAAGAGACGTACCAGGAAACTGATTACACTTTCAGGAGTAACTTGCATGCATGGGCCAGGCCTGGGTTGCATTTGCCTAAGTGTCGGCAACAAAAGGAGAAAGCATTCTCTTGCTAATAATGAAAATAATTGTTAAAGCTAACTCCCTTTTGACTCTCTACGGATGGTCTATTCTGAGCTTAACGGAACTTCTTAAGTGAGAGCATTCCAAGGGCATAGAGTAGATGCAGAGGTTAGCGCTATCTCGTTTTGTGATTCTAGCATTGAAGGCGTGGTTTCTCGACTGACCACGTGCATACCAAACAAACTGCTGAGGTCAGCCTTTATGCCATGTTACACACCCCTTCCTTTCCGTTCTGTTTGAATTTGTGTCTTCAATCAAGTACTGGACGTTTTACTGTTAATTCTTTTTAATTTTACTGTTTAGTGTTTTTAATGTCATTTTTTTATCGTTTGTGGCACAATTAGCTATGTGGTCGGGTTGCATATGTTTTGGCAGGAAGACCTCAAAGTTTTTCACAATGGAGGGGATGCTTTTTGGCATAAATCCATTCACATTTTCAACAGAAAAGTTAATAACAGCAATAGCGACATGCGCAGTGAAACATCAATGAAGTTTAGCCTTGGGGTTTCCTCCACAGTACCCATTCATATTTATTGGAAAAGTAACAGCGCAAGATCCCTGATGCACCCAATCATTAATTTTTTTAGACCAATGTAGCGTCCCGAGACATTCCAGTAAGTGAGGCTGGATACATGTATTCCGAAGGGAACAGAACAAATGGACCTGAGCATGGCCCAAGACTAGCCCACGTGCACAAGAGCCAGTCAAATCCTAAAGTGACCGCTAAACGTCAGGGAGTCACATAAACAAAGCATTGTAGCCAATGTTTCAACTTATAGCCTTGAAAACATAACGGCCAACAAAGTAATCAATTCATAAAACCCGTATGTTTAAGCCAAAATTAACTTTAAATCTATATTTAGCATTTATTTTCAGTTGCGAAGAAGAGGTTGACCGCCGTGGCTAGCTCATAGGTGCTTTCATTCAGAATTGGCTAAATTATGCAGACCGACGCAGGAAGTAAGACTATGATAGCGCCGGAGTCAATGATCAAAATGGTGTTGGATTTGTGTCCTTGCCATCTCCATCGTCTGATCACCTTTTAGATGCTTCCTTAGGAGTCATATTTTCATGGGAGATCTAGTAGAAATTTGATACACACTACCTACAGTACAGTATGGACTTGGAACCGTTATTTTCTTCTTCTAACTTCCTATGCAGATTGAAGTAATAATTCCTTGTGCACTACCTGCATGAGTTGGGACTGCCATAGGTGGCATTTCTACGTCCACCGTTCGAGCGCATGCAGTAGCCAAGTACATTGCCTTCGCACATGTAATAAGATTTCTTGAGACGTTGCACCAATGCCAGTGAAGAAAGTTTTGTCAAATTTCTTCACTTTTCTTATCACAGGATTAGGAGTTTCCCGTCTACCAAATATGCCCTGTCCAGGAATTAAGCAGCAGAATCGAGACCAAGTGTAAATTAAACTTATAATTGCAAGTCCCTTTTTTGGCGGTACTTTCACCAATATAAAACAGACAAAGCTATAGACCCGATTGGATTAACCTTAAACACATAAATTGTAAAAGCAAATTGGTAGTCTAAACGGTAGGATTGTGCATTTATGCTTATAGGTAAGAGATTTTGTATATCCTACATTTACATTGATTAAGCTATTTGGTGCGGAGATTGTCTTCTCAAGGTTACGCCTCGGTTACCCCCTCTTGCCGCTTACTTTATTTGCATTTACCATGTTAATTTACGAATAGTAAGTGCTGTTGTACATGCCTTTTATCTACTAAATAGCCGCGTTATTTTGCCTCTAACTGTTGACGAGTACCAAATTGCCCAACTGTATGCTGTCGCGAAAGCGTCCAAAGAACAAACGGGAGGTGGCGATGGTGTTGAAGTCTTACAAAATTGCCCCTTTAATGATAAAATTTTTCCTCCGGAATCTCCACTCCTTGATGGCTTTAGATCAGGGCAATATACACACAAAATCTATCATGTGGCGAGCAAATTACCTTCGTTTGTCTCGGCCCTACTCCCTACCAGCTTGATGACATTCAACGAGATCGCTTGGAATGCTTATCCATACTGTCGGACTATTCTAACGGTTTGTATGCATATGACTGCATGCATGAACTTCTGTAGAACGACTTTTTTGAACATAAGCTGGAGATAAAAATTGAATCGCTACATTCCTCTGACATAACACTTGAGAATGTAACTTCAGCCTTTTACAATTAGTCAACTGGCTTTATTAGGCGCACAACCTCCCCAGAGACTTACTGGCCAAAAGAAAGGTGATATATGTAGATATTTCGGCTTCCGCTGCCGTTGGTGACACAAATCCCGGAGAAGACCCAACTGAGTACGTTTCTAAAAAGACCAAAAGGGGTCCACTACTAAAGGAGCGATGGTGGGAGGTAAGGTTCGAGTTCCTCCCGATTCTTGGCACCTAAATCTCTTGTAGAAGAAGCATAACTGTCCTGTCATGTGCGCCTACAAATTAGTGACGTGTGAATTTAAAGTTTGGGGTTTCCAGGGCCGTGTTGAAGAAATGATTCAGCGCGTAAGTTACGCACTCACTTTTGCTAATGCTTTTTGGTGAGCTATATGTCTTTTTTGAGGACTTCTTCCCATGTTTGTTTTGTTCTTATTAGCCGATTGGAGTGATTTCGCATTGACAAATCGCAAAGTCTAGATTTAGTAGCTTGATGTTGTTAATAATGTACTTTTGTGTCCCTCGCTCTACTTCCCATCATTATTGGTTGACTGAAGATTTTAATA